ATTAACTTCTAGCACCTCTCAATAGGAATGAGAAGTGTCTGTACTTCTGTAGATGAAGAATCAAAGTACTGAACTGAGCTTGAACAAAAAGAACAGGGACTTTCCCCTATCATGCCAGCAGTGATTTTATCTGGGAATGTTACTTGCATATGTGTATGTTTAAGAGAGAGAACTTTACTGGCAACTTTTGGAGAAATTAGGTAAGATAGTTGGTAGGTTTCAACTGAATGCCTCAAGGTGATGACCCTTTGAGTTTCTTATGTTCTTTTAAAGATTTTACGAGTACCATTTGAACTTTTATGTAATGAAAATGGAGATGCTTCTTTTTGTCATTAATCCTCCAAAATGAAGCTAGTTTGTAGGATGGTGTTTCCAGTTCTTAGTTTGATAATCTTGCAAGAATGAACTGTTTTCTTACAAAGGAAGTCAAAATTAGTAGGTATATATTTTTTTTTTATTATTTACCTTTTTTACTCTTTTCTCTTTGATTGGAATTTTCTTTCCTGTTATTTGTTTGTGGTAGTTTGACTCCTTTTAAAACAGTTATCCTTTTCAAAGTTTATCCCTTTCAGTAGTAATCTCCTTTTCCTTTTATGGGTGTAGGAGGATACCGGGGTCAGGGCACTTGACCACTGAGCCACATCCCTAGGCCTAGTTTGTATTTTATTTAGAGACAGGGTTACCTGAGTTGCTTAGCACCTCACTTTTACTGAGGCTGACTTTGAAACTCATGATCTTCCTGCTTCAGCTTCCTGAGCTTCTGGGATTACAGGTGTGCGGCCCCTTTCCCAGCTTCCTTTTCCTTTATTTTTGCTTCTGATAGTATCTATTACATTCTGTCCTGCACATTATTGAGGAACTATTAAATATATATGTTAAAAATTAAGGTAGTCCTCTTTTTTAATCCACCATTGAGTCATCTCACAGTTCTTCCCTATGTCTTGCCATTACCCATACTATTAAGATCCTTTAGAAAGTAAAAAGATGATGATTCAAATAGTCTCTTAAAACTTGGTAGTTAGATTGAAAATATTATTTGTATATTTGTTTCTTTTGTGTGATCATAATGTTAACATATTATGATATATATATATATATATATATATATGTATATACATATTTTACATGGTATGTTTGTTTACATACAATTTTCCTTCTGTAGAAGTACCTAAAGTATTCTTATATAATTTAGCCTAGTTCAGTGAATTTATTTTTAAACCTATAGATTAAACAAAAGAATAGCTAGCTTTCTCTTCCCTCTTTTTGTCATGAGACACCAATCCTAACTTTATTATTTTTTTAATTTTTTTTTTTAGTTATAGGTGAACACAATTTCTTTATTTTACTTTATGTGGTGCTGAGGATTGAACCCAGTGCCTCGTGCATGCCAGGCGAGCGCTCTACCTCTGAGCCACAACCCCAGCCCCCTAACTTTATTTTTGCATTTTAACATAGCTGATATGTACATGTAATGGCATGGCCTAATTTAATTGGTATGATTGTTTTCTTAGTGATATATCTTACATCTTTGCTCAATTGACACACGCTTGGAGAGTAGACAAAATTGTTGAATGCACAAGGGGAAAAAAGTCTTTCTAAATTAACATTATTTTATCATATATTTCATTTCAAATGTGTCACCAAAGTAATATATTTTTAATACTATTTATTATTATAATTAGATATTTTGACTATTTTATCTATAGTCTAAATTTATATAGGTCAACCTAAAAATTATTTTTGGTTCTTCTCATTGGGAACATGTTTCAAATTATTTTACACTGGCAGTACACTGTATTCAGGCATTTATGATATAATATAACCTAGAAATGTAACCCTAGGTATTTAATCTTCATATTTGTAAATGTTTTTCCTTAAAGAAGTCCTGAATGTATGTCCAGTATAATATCCTCATTATCTACCATATATAAGTTGATCTGCTTATAGCTTTGGTATAAATTGCTGTATAATTCATGAGGAAGATGATTCCTTAAAGAAAAAGTTTCCTGCTGGTCAAGGTGGCACATGCTTGTAATCCCAATGACTTGGGAGGCTGAGGCAGGAGGATTAAAAGTTCAAAACCAGCCTCATCAACTTAATGAGGCCCTGTCTAAAAATTAAAAGGGCTGGGGATGTTGCTCAGTGGTTAAGCACCCTTGGATTCAGTGCCTGGTACCCCCCCCACCCCCTAAAATTACCATTTTAATGAGGCCCTGTCTAAAAATTAAAAGGTCTGGGGATGTTTTTCAGTGGTTAAGCACCCTTGGATTCAGTGCCTGGTACCCCCCCCCCCCCCCCCAAATTACCATTTCAATTTTACCTATGTTTCAGTGACATAGGTAAATTCACATGGTTTTGTAACCATCACAGCCATCCAAATTCAGAGTTTTTTCATATTTCCACACAAAAACACTAACTATTAAACATTAATTTCCCATGTTCCCTTCTCCTTTCCCCTGGCAACCACCATTTTTCTCTCATTTCCATGAGTTTGGAAATAGAATTATTCACTATTCCTCCTTTTACGTCTGGTTTATTTCACTTAATGCAATGACTTAGGTTCATTCATGTTTCATTCCTGGTTTAAAAAAGAAAGAAAAAGTCTCCTTACTTTTAAATTTTTGATTATGTATCTTTGATCCTCATGTCAAAGAACAGGTTCTTAATGTTGCTGGCATAGAATGGAAACAACTGGGGTTGCTGGTGGTTGAGAGGAATAATAATACAATGTGTGTTCTGCTTGAAAGAAAATGATGTGTTTAAAAAAAAGAAAATCCTCAAAAGGCATAAAAAGTTGCTGAAGTATTACAGCTGAACATGACTGGTTCTTTATCTGATCTCGCTTGCTTCAGCTTGCTTTCTGGGGAAGTTGCTAGTTTCTTCTTCCTCTTTGATCAATTTCACTGATATCATTTAATAGGAGAAAAAAATTACACAGCTTTGTATATTCATTTCTATTAGGTCATCTTCCCAATGTTCCTTGTGGGCACAGCACCTTATAATTTGTTACTATGCCTTTATAGAGATTTGTGTTTATTGGCTTCCTTAATTTTTTTTTTTTTTTTAGAATTTTTTAAATATTTTTTTTTTCAGTTTTCGGTGGACACAACATCTTTTGTTTGTATGTGGTGCTGAGGATTGAACCCGGGCCACACGCATGCCAGGCGAGCGTGCTACCGCTTGAGCCACATCCCCAGCCCCGGCTTTCTTAATTTTATACTTTAAAGTGTGAACATTAGAATCACAAACATTTATTTTATGTGCAGATTTTTTTCCTCCTAAATGAATTCCCCAAGAGCTATAGTTTGATACTGAGATGAAATATGATTCACGAACAATAAAATAGGTTAAATTATGATTAAAGTTGCTTGCTGTTATCTGGAATAAATTCAAAATAATCTTCCCCCATGGATTTTACATGTCTTACATAAACCCTTACCATCTGTAGGAACTTTCAGTTAATATCAGTATTTATCTAAAATTATTCTTTCTGTATCATTACCAACAAAAAGAGAGCCTTAGAGAAATGATCTAATTAGTGATTGGTCTCTTTTTGCCTTTGAACCTTGTTTGTATTTGACTCTGATAAATATGTTAAAGATTCTTGGATTTGTATATATTCCTGAAGAAGTATCATAGAGCATATAAAAGTACTTTCAGGTGAGACATCAGCATACCCACATTCTTATCTCTGCCTGCCAGTTACCTGCAGTGTGACTGTGAGCAAGTCATTTGTTTTTGTTTTTCATCTCTTCATTTTATACCCTCCTTTTAAAAGTCTTATAGTGACTTTTAAAAACTTTAGTTTTAGTTAGGAAATGAATTAGACTTTTTATTTTTATTTTATTTTTTTAAAAATTTTTATTGTTGGTTGTGAGAGAGAATTTTTTAATATTTCTTTTTTAGTTTTCCGTGGGCACAACATCTTTGTTTGTATGTGGTGCTGAGGATCAAACCCAGGCCGCACGCATTCCAGGCGAGCGTGCTACCGCTTGAGCCACATCCCCAGCCCGAATTAGACTTTTTAAATGAGATACCAGATTTTTAAAAACATTAAAGTGAAAATTGAAATGGTGCTTGCATTCAATAAATAAACCTTTTGTTTTTGATTCTTCAAGTAAAAATTTGGATTATGAAGACAATCCAGATGGCACTGGACATTAGAAATCTTAAATATTTGAAGGTTAATACTGATTTCAGTGAAATTGATTAATTCTTCAAAAGGAAAACTGCCTGTTGTTATGAAAGGCAATAATGAACTGTAAGGGATTCATGTGGGAATAATAAGCATGACAACTTTGCAACTCTTACTGCTGAGCAATGTGTCAGAAATGAATTGGTGTTACAGAGTCTTTCTTGTTCATTGTTGCCTTTAGATTGCACCATTTGAAGATTTTATTAGGAATGAGAAATACTGATTGTGATCAGGGAAAAAAATTTTTGCAACATTTGAGAAAATTATTTCAAAATCTCTCATGCAAATGGGAGTTCTGTATTCTATAGAATAACTGAAGCTGTCATTGTCTTTCTGCCTCTCCTTTTGGATAAATTGGATCCTCTTAATGGAAAGGGAAGCAAAAAGAGTACTCAGTTATAAGGTAGGAGTATATAAAACTGAGCTGACTAAAGTTGTAAAATCACTTAATGACAGTTCTAGCTACTTAAATGAGAAGAGGGTAGCTAACTTCCTCTTATGTTGCTTAGGAGTTAAGAAATTATTTTTTTTCCCTGTCCCAGGAAATGATAAATTTTAGACAAAAATTTCTTCCTTTAGAAAGGTTGATTAAAGTATGATGGTGTAATCTAATAAGAAAATGTACTTCTTGAGAGTGAAAATCTGACTAATTTTTAGTGCCTATGCAGAATCTGTGTGTCCTGTTCTTTATTCCTGTGCTTTATGTTTTGTCTATGTCCGTGATTAATATTTCTGAATATTGTCCTTATTAATTCTTTCTAACTTTCTCTTTCACATTTCATCCTGGATTTGCTGTTTCCTTCAGTCTCACCTCAAGGTCAGTATGTTTGTACAAAAACAAAGATGATGTAATTGAACCTTGTTTACTAACATTAGCTTTAATTCTAACAGGTCACTAAAATGATAGAACTTATTCTAGGAAAAAGATGTCTAGAAATCTGGTTGTGAGTGTATAAAATGTCTGAGTATAATGTTTACTAAAAGTGAATACAAATTTTTATATTTTGAAAGAATGAGAATCTGGGCATGGTGGCAGTACCTATAGTCCCAATGACTGGGGAGGCTGAGGCAAGAGGATTGCAAGTTCATGGCTAACCTCAACAAGACCTTGTCTCAAATAAAAAAAAAATAAAAGGACTAGGAATGTAGCTTACTGATAAAGTGCCCCTAGCTGGGTTCAACCCCAGTACCAAAAAGGGGGCGGGGGTGGAGTTGAGATAGTGAAAGTAGAATCAGACAACCAGAGTTTGAGAGAATTATAGCTGTAAAGAGCCACCAGAGGAATGGGGGGGGGGGGAAAGTACAGTAAGGATGACAGAAAGAAATTTGACACAGTCTATAGATTTATGTAAGAATCTTTGAAGTTTTTTTACCAAGAGAAATCTTTGCACACACATACAACCTTTTACACTTTAGTTTTTGGTTTTGTTTCGTGATTCTGCTAAATGATAGAACTACTGAAAAAAAAAACAGCATATATATGTGTTCAAGGCATTATGGTAGAAGCTTTACATTATTTGTTTCACTTCATCTTCTCAGCAGTGTTATAGGAATTATTTCTATTTTAAGCTGAAAAACACAAGTACAAAGCTAATTTAATAACTTACCCATTTTTACTAGTGAGCAAACAGTAGAAGAAGCTGCCTAAAATAGTCAGAAACCTGAATTTTTAAAGTTATTTTTCATGTGAGCCACAGCAGTGTGAATTATAGCATGAGAATTTATGATAGTTCAGAAACCGAATTTGTTTTGATTTACATTTTTCTAATTGATAAAGATGTAGAACTTTTTAAAATATATGTGTTGATTGATTGTATATCATCTTCTGAGAGGTGTCTACTCAGTTCCTTAGCCCATTTATTGATTGGGCTATTTGGTTTTTTGTTGTTTAGTTTTCTGAGTTCTCTATATACCCTAGAGGTTAGGGCTCTGTCTGATGTGTGAGTGGTAAAAATTTGCTCCCAAGATGAAGGCTCTCCACCCACCTCACTGATTGTTTCTTTTGCTGAGAAGCTTTTTAGTTCAATCCATCCCATTTATGGATTATTGATTTTAATTTTTCCACTGTAGGAATCTAGTGAAGCTGGGGCCTAATCCGACATAATGGAGATTTCTGCCTACTTTTTCTTCTAGTAGATACAGTCTCTGGTTTAATTTTGATCCACTTTGCATTGAGTTTTCTGCATTGTGAGAGAGGGAGGGGGAGCATGGAGGATTAAATGAACTCAAGATTGGGCAGAGGAGTGGGAGGGGAAGAGAGGGAACCTAGGGGTAAAAAAGATGGTGGAATGAGATGGATATACATGTATGAAGACATGAATGGTGTGGATATGCTTTGTATACAACCAGAGATATGAAAAAATGTGCTCTTTCTCTATGTGTGCTATGAACTGTATTGCATTCTGCTGTAATGGATAAAAAATTAGAATAAAAATAAAATAAAACCTAAAAAGTAAAAAAAAAAAAAGAAATGAATTTGTTAATACCATATGCATTTTACCTAGCAATTCTCTACTAATAATCATTAAATTGTGTGCCTGTGTGTGTCTGTGCACATGCATCCACACATTTGTTGTTTGTTTCTCAAAGCACCCCTTGGATTCCCATGACTAGCATATGGATTATGTAGGGGCAGAGGGACAGATTATTATTCTGCTGAGGAACTAAGATCAGGGAATGAGATTTCTCCAGGGTCAGCCAAGGATGATACGTAGATTTGAAGCCAGCTCTTATTTCAACATTGAAACTCTATACTATAAGCACTCTAACCTATGAAGTAGCCCCACATTGTTTGGATTGTCTTAGATATCTCATCTGCAGTTTTCTTATCAGTAAAATTGGGATAATTGTCTAACATGTAGTCAATACAAATAGGACTTAGAGTAGCATATGCCACAGGGTAAGCAGTCAACAAATGGAGCTATTAGGATAGTTCCAGCCTTTTTAATGGAATGTTATTTGATCCATCATGTTATAGTATGATGTCATGTATGTCAGGTTGTTTAAAATACTGTACTGTTCTTATTGGTTCATACTGACTTCCAGCACAAAGGGACATGATTTGAGAGCTGCATCATTAGGTAATTTCATCACCATGCAAACTTCATAGGATATATTTATTTACACAAACTAAGATGGCTATAATGACATTTGCATTACAATCCCATGTGACCTCTGAAGTGTATGCTGTCCATTGCTGAACAAAACATCATTATGTGGCACACAACTGTGTATTAATAGAAAATGACAAAAGAAGATACATTTCATCTGCAATGATATTTTAGGACTCCACTTACCTTTTGAGGTGCAAAAATTTGTATTATAAGTTGGAAGATGAAGCTGAGGCTCTGTTGGGAAAATTTCTTTCCCATTTCTGTTCACTGAAATGTCTTCTCAGTGTTTAGTTGAGAACCTAACTGTTATTTCTGAAGAAGTTCCCTTAATTTTTGACTCATTTGAAAATAAGAAGTATAAGGCTAGGGTTGTGGCTCAGTGTCATAGAGCACTTGCCTAGCACATGGGAGGCACTGGGTTTGATCCTCAGCACCACATAAAAATAAATAAACAAAAAAGGTATTTTGTCCATCTACAATAAAAAATAAATAAGCAGTGTATGTGAAGTGTAAATCAGAGTATTAAAAAAAAAGAAACCTCTTGTCATTAATTATCCAAACCTAATTCATAAAGGTCCTTCAGTCAGATTTATACTGTCCTCTTCTCTCTTACCTGATAACCACTTTATAAAATAGAGTTTTAAGTGATCAATTGTCTCAAAATTTGTATCTTTTCTCACCTTTCTTGTATTTTGATGGGAATATGGTTCCAGGCTAAGTCTTCCTGTTTTTTTTTTTTCCATTTGTTTCTTATCAGTTTTTAAAACTTGCCTTTTTACATTAAATCCTCCTTGTTTCCTTATTTCCATTCTCTTTCTTTCCACTGATGACTCTGAACATAAAGTTGTGTCCTACTTTTTTACATCCTTGGTTTTTCCCCCTTCAATTCACTGTACTATCTTACTTTTACTTTTCCATTTTTTATTTACTTGAACAATGTTTGAAAGAATCAAGATTCTATTCTTGCGGTCTTCACTTTCACACTTCTTATTTATTTCCCAAACCAATCTAATTTAGATTCTTATCTGACTGCTATACTAAAATTACTAATATGATGTCAAATTCACTAATCTTGTCTTGGGCCTCTTTGACGATTCTGGAGTTTTTTCTTTTTTTCTTTTTTTTTCCATTTTTTTTTTATTGATTGTTCAAAACATTACAGAGCTCATGCTATATCATCTTTCATACATTTGACTCAATTGGGTTTTGAACTCCCCAAATACATAATGCAGACTCACTTCTGTTACATACTCACATTTTTACATAATGGCATATTAGTGACTGTTGTATTCTGCTACCTTTCCTATCCCCTACTATCCCCCCTCCCCTCCCCTCCCCTCCCATCTTCCCTCTCTACCTCCTCTGCTGTTGTTCAATTCTCTCCCCCTTTTTTCCCCCTCCCCCTTGCCCCTCATAACCTCTTATAATTTTGTGTATCACTGAAGGTCTCCTACCATTTCCATATGTTTTCCCTTCTCTCTCCCTTTCTCTCCCCCCATTCGTCTTAGTTTACTGTTAGTCTTTTCCTCATGCTCTTCCTTCCTGTTCTATTCTTAGTGGCTCTCTTTATATCAAAGAAGACATTTGACATTTGTTTTTTAGGGCTTGGCTAGCTTCACTTAGCATAATCTGCTCTAATGCCATCCATTTCCCTGCAAATTCTATGATTTTGTCGTTTCTTAGTGCTGCATAATACTCCATTGTGTATAGCTGCCACAATTTTTTTATCCACTCATCTATTGAAGGGCATCTAGGTTGGTTCCACAGTCTAGCTATTGTGAATTGTGCTGCTATAATCATTGATGTGGCCGTGTCCGTATAGTGTGCTCTTTTAAGGTCCTCAGGGAATAGTCCAAGAAGGGCAATAGCTGGATCAAATGGTGGATCCATTCCCAGCTTTCCCAGGAATCTCCATACTGCTTTCCAAATTGGCCTCACCATTTTGCAGTCCCACCAGCAGTGTACAAGTGTGCCCTTTTCCCCACATCCTCGCCAACACTTATTGTTGTTTGACTTCATAATGGCTGCCAATCTTACTGGAGTGAAATGGTATCTTAGGGTGGTTTTGATTTGCATTTCTCTGATTGCTAGAGATGGTGAGCATTTTCTCATGTGCTTGTGGATTGATTGTATGTCCTCCTCTGAGAAGTGTCTGTTCAGGTCCTTGGCCCATTTGTTGATTGGATTATTTGTTATCTTATTGTTTAGTTTTTTGAGTTCTTTGTACATTCTGGATATTAGGGCTCTATCTGAGGTGAGTTTTTTATATTATTGGTTGGCCCGCTTACTTCTTGTAAAATTCTTGTGTAGTTTATGTGACTTTTTTTCTGTTATCTCTCCTTGGTCACACTTTTCAGTTGGTTTTGGTTTTTCTTCTTTTACATGTTTCTTAACTCTTAGTGTCTTGTATGTTCTTTTTAAAAAGTTCCTTTTTCATCTATATTAGTAGTCTGCCCTTTTACTTAGATTTATTTTGTTTTATGTAAATTTTTATGGAATCTACATTTTTAATAAGCTTTATTCATTTAAAAGAAATCTTACAATGTTTTCAGTAAAAATAGCAAGCACATATATAGCACTTAAAAATGACTTTCCCATTTTCTAAACATTTTCTCCACGTATCATAGTTATCTAAGTAATTCTAATTATGGTGAAATTGGAAAACAATTGTGCTTCACTAGAAAAATATTATGGAATCTTTCGC